GTGTAATGAAACAAGTTATATGAATTGTTGAATGTGAAACTGATGATGTGCCCTGTAAACTTTCACTCAATCCACAATAAAAACCTTAAATTGAAAAAAAAAAACAACAACACACGAATATATCTGCAAATAAATAAAGGGTATTAGACATATGGGGTGCCAGACTGCAAAGCCGTTTGCACTATAGGACCGGTGGTTCAAGCTCACCAGTCGCGCCTTGGAAACCCTCTATGGGTCACTATGGACAGGAACCGACTTGATGGTACTTAACAACATTATGAAGAACTGTTTCATTTTACTTTGGTTTATAAAGAAGCAGCTGTCCATTTATCAGTATCTGTCTCACTCATTCTTTTGTTACATCTCCCTTTTTCTTTAATTTTCCAGGTACTGAAGCATAAAAACTCAGAAAATCTGTCTTTCTGCTATACACACATACTTCTCTGATGTTTATACCAAAATCGTAAAATATATCAAAATCCCTGGGCTTTAATCCTGCTTCTTTCAATAATTTTGCTCTTAACCAACTAGATGTCTCTTTCATTACTACTTTGTTTTGTAAATGGAAGGGTCTGCTGTCAACCCTAATTCTATATTCAGAGCCACTAATTAGACTGTGGTGGCCTCCTGGTGTGGTGCTACAGGATCCGCTACAGGATCCGCACTGGCCTGCAAAGCAATTCAAATATACCAGCGGCTCCTCAGAAATCGTTGACAGGGTCGCCGTAAGTTGGAACCTGACTTGATGACATTTAATGACCATCTTAAGGACAGCAGTCATTTGCAGTTACAGGAATTGGCACACAACATGCCCTCTATGAATCCAAGTAAGACTCTTATCCTGACCCAGTTAAGTTGACATAAAGCTTAACTGTCACTCAGGGCGACCCTCTAAATCTTGAACAGTCTGACTTATAAATGGCATTTCCTAGTGAGGTCCATCTATCCAAGACAAGTATCATTTTGCCTTCCTTTCAACATTTTTCACTTTGTGTTGCTTATTTATGTAGGATATAAGCACTGTACTGCTAACCACAGGGCTGGCAGTTCACACCCACCAGCCACTCCTCAGAAACCCTACACTGGGTTGCTATGATTTAAAACCAATTCAACAACATTTAACAACAGCAAAAGTATAGGATCACTTAGCTCTTGCGTGGTGGCGCTGGAGGGAAAACACTGGATTGCTAACCACAGGGTTGGCGGTTCAAACTCACTCACCAGATGCTCTTCCGAAACCCTGTATAACAGAGGTGGGAAACGTCCAGTCTGAGGGACATATATGGTCCACAAAATCTTTTGGCCGGGCCCGGCCAAGGAAACCATGTTTATGCTATTACATTGTTGTTTTTGGTAACTGCCATTAAGTTGGTTCCGACTCATAGCAACTCTGTACTTCAGGGGTGAATTAATTAAGTGTTTGACCAAAATATAGCAGGCTAATTTTTAAGTTGATAATTTTGTA